AAACATGCAGGTTAGGTTGCCTTCAGGCACAGGCCTCTCTTGCAAAAGAGATCTGTGATCTCAATGGGATTTGCCTGGTTAAATAAAGGTTAATAAAACATAAAAATATGAAGCTCTATTTTACCACAGTGATTAATCAAGCACCATAAAGCAATACGAAACAGACCTGCCCTCCTGAGATTAGCTCTGAGAACATCTTGTTTTTAGACTAAAAACAAAGACAAGAAGATTTAGTGGAGAGCATCCTGTGCTCCAGCATCAACATGTGGCATGGAGGCTGCACAGCTGAGGAAAGAAAAGCTTTGCAGAGAGTGGTGAAGGCTGCACAGAAGTCTGTTGGAGTCAGCCTCCCCACCATCACAGACATCTACACCTCCAGATGCAGAAAGAGAGCCACCTGCATCATGAAGGACCCCACTCACCCAGCACAAACACTTTTTGCCCCGCTCCCCTCAGGCAGGAGGTTGAGGAGCATTAAGTTTAGAACCACTAGACTGAGGAACAGCTTCTACCCTGAGGCTGTTAAGACTCATGAATATCTAGCCAGGATAATCACTGTGAAAAATCACATCATGTTGCTGTTGATCTGTTTCGTGTTGATATGTTCATTCGTGCTCATCTGCTCACACAGACTCATGGTCATGCTGCTGATTGGCGTATTGTTTTTGTACAACTAGTGCTTAGTGTATATTTAGTTAACCTTTGTCTTAGTTCATATATTTAGATCTTATTACTGTTTTTCTTTTACATTTTATACTTTTGTTAGATGTAACTGGGACCCTGTGTACACATTTTGTTCCACCTCATGTACCATATGTGGTGCATATAACAAGTAAAGAACCTTGAACCCTTGAATCCTTGAATTTACTGTACTCACACTTTTTTCATCTTAAGATAAAGACATAATAAAAGTATTACATATTTCGAGGAGATGACCATGGACTCTGGGTAGTGACCATAACAATGATATCACAGATATATGCGGTCGAATTGAGTTTTCTCCACAGGGTAGCTGGACTCTCCGTTAGAAATAGATTGAGAAGTTCAGTTATCTGGGAGAGACTCAGAGTAGAGCCGTTGCTCCTCTACATCGAGAGGAACTGACTGAGGTGGTGCAGGCATCTAGTAAGGATGTTCCCGAGACGCCGCCCTAGGGAGGTTCTCCGGGCATGTTCATCTGTGAGGAGACCCTGTGGAAGACCCAGGACATGCAGGAGAGAACTGTCATTGAGAAATATGCCTCTCAGCTGGCCTGGAAATGCCTTGGAATACTCCCTGAAGAGCTAGAAGAGGTGGCTGGGGAAATAAATGTCTGGACTTCTTTGCTTAAGCTGCTGCCCCATGACCCGACTTTGAAACAAGTGGAAGATGATGGATGGATGGATGATGAATTGATGGAAGGATTTTCAGATGTTGGGAACGAGATTTTTTTAATTCTGTCTGCAATATGTGAGATTTTAGGAAAGCAGACCTATTTAAACTAGAAGACATCCCTGTTACTGTTTTTTGTTGTTTGTTGTTGTTTGTTTGTTTTTGGATATATATTTTTTGAGAAAGTAATGTCAAATTTTCAAATATTTTTTTCCTTTAAAGTCAAGTTTAGAAGAAAGGAAGAAGGCCATCTGCATCATGAAGGACCCCACTCACCCAGTACACACACTTTTTGCCCCACTCCCCTCAGGAAGGAGGTTAAGGAGCATTAAGTGTAGAACCACTAGACTGAGGAACAGCTTCTACCTTGAGGCTGTTAGACTCATGAATCTCTAACCAGAATAATCACTGTGAAAAAATTCACATCATGTTGCTGATCTGTTTCATGTTGCTGCTGATCTGTTTCATGTTGCTGTGTTTATTCGTACTCATCTGCTCACACAGACTCAAGTTCGTGCTGCTGTTCGGTGTATTGTTTTTATGCTATTAGTGTTTAGTGTATTTTTAGTTAACGTTTTTCTGAGTTCATATCTTGGATCTTATTAGTTTTTCTTTTACATTTTAATACTTTTGTTGGATGTAACTGGGATCCTGTGTACACAAATTCGTTCCACCACATGTACCACATGTGGTGTGTATGACAAATAAAGAACCCTGAATCCTTGAATCCTTGAGAAGGACAAAAGTAAAAATCCACTTGAAATTTCAACCATGTTCCACTCATTCAACAAAAGATGGAGGAATTGATGAAAACAATCAAAAGTAAATTATACTCTAAAAAGATTAGGAACTATTCGACTAAGTGAATGGTGCAGTGATCTGGCCTATCCAAGACAGACGAGCATTCATTTGGCAAACTCAACTATATAAAAGCTGATTTACAACTGGAGTTTTATAATAAAGTCCTGCTTGTGTCCAGATAAATACATTTTCAACAAGAGCCTGAGAACAAAGTGCCTCATTCTGCCCTCAAGGTGAAGGGAAAATGACTGCAATCACTGCAAAATTTTAAGAGGTACATGTAAATTATTTTGTTCCTTTCTCGACAACCACCGTTTAGGCCAAAGTTTAAACCACTAAATATATAGCATTTAAACTGATCAGCAAAGCTGCTAGCTTAAGTTTGGTTAACATTCTTCCAGCAAAGTGTAAACTGAGGAGGCATCCTGGAGGATCCATTAAGCCATTATAATGAACTAACCTCTCTGAACCACCAACTTTGGCAGCAAATTGCTTTTTCCATTTTCTTCCAGAGTTTCTTTATGCACAACTCCACTCCTGAGCCAGAAAGTCCAGCTCATAAAACAGACGGATGATACGACTGCAAGAAGAGTGAGGGCAAAATCTATAATTAATTACATAAAATGTTGATTACAATACACTATTTGGTCATGTAAACTTTTTAATACCACTCCATTAGCTTGCACTTTTGATTTTATAGGTTTTTCTGTACCTTTGTATAAAATCTGAATGCTCTAACAGATCCACCAGCAACCACTGATTGATTTCACCCTGCTGATTTACCAAAACTGCACCTACCGGTACTTCAAACCCAACAAACCAACAAGCTACACAAACTACTGTTCCAACTGAAACAAAGACCACAACACAAACTGTATCGTAAAGACAGTGCAACGGAAAATAGCTACTTGGCTCGAGACATCGGCCTGGAAAAGTAGAGAAAGCTGAGTTTGCTTATAGCTCTGACCTAGATTTGTTGTTCTGTAAAAGGCAAATATCAACTAATTCAAAGTCAGGAAATGCTAATAAATGCACTAAGCAATGGTCACAGTCGGTGATGATGTCATTGGCTTAAACAGCAGGACTTTGACTAAATATCTTAATTACATGGCATGCAAAACGTACATAGTCATACTTTTACAGCTCCAATTAAAATGTTGCAACGAGATGTAAATATTTCACAGAATAAAGAGACTAAACACAGCTGTTTTCCATTCATAACATCCAAAGATTTTGTTGTGGGATCAATGCTGGTTAAGATCTACACTGCCTGAAAATTCAAACAGCCTTTTTATCAAATGAAGTAGACACTTTTAGTACCTCTAATTCAACGTATTCTCTACATTGCTGTGTAATACACAGATCAATGTGTCAGAAACCATTAAAGGGGATATACTTATTCTGCAAGGGTATGGATGCTAAATCAAGTGAGCCCTGAAATCTCCTTAGCTCGTACCTGGCTTTGTTTGCACTGGCAGAGAGATGTGGAGTAATGTCAACCAGCCAAATGGAGCAGTTCAGACGACTTCCATTGCAGGAGGTGCAGACATTTCAGATGCATGCTAGCTGCGCTGCTAGACAATACAGGGTTGTCTTTACACATGCAAAACTGTCAGTCTGTAATAAAACTGTCAAATGGAATTAGGGAACCACCACAAAACTACACCACTACAACACAAAGGTCAAGGGGCCTCTGCTCGACAGGACCATGGAGTTCAAATTCATAAAGGAAAGAACGTATATAGGGCCTCTGATGAAAAGACGTCAAGGTGTTGGAACGTCCGCCTCACTGCTGCTCCCCATTGGGCTGAATTTCAGCCGGAGCAAGGAGGGAAAACAGATCCATGAACCCTAAGGCAGGACACATGGAACTTCAAAGTAGTGCGCCTCTGTGGATGCTCTTCCTTAAGGCGAGTGTGGTACTCACACCCATCGTGAAACCCAAGTCAAACTGCCTTCCGTGTCATCATTTCCTCCGCCATCCCTCTTCCTCCTCCCTCTGAGGAACACATGACTTCCATTACTGTTTTACTGTCTCAGCACACCAGTAAAGCAGAATGTCAGAACTTGTTACAGAGCCTGTCTTTGCAGTTTCTCTTCTACTTTGTATGACAATCTTTTTAAACAGTGAATCAGGCAGATGCTTAGACCAGTCTGTTAGTGGTTTTTAAATATATTATGTTTTACATTTTACTCTTTCCTAAATGTGGAAAGTCTACGCTGTATGTCAGTTTTGGTCAATTTGCACATTAAATGTATTTAATCTGTTGTAGCTTTCAATGTATTTTTCCACACAAAATAGACAAATGTTCTTCGACTTGTTTCAATTTATTTGTTGAATCACACTTAGATGTATGTTATATCCACACGCAAGTGATGTATTACACATTTACAATTGTCAAACTGAATTACACATGCCCTAAAACTTCATCTTGGCCTTGACTCTGAGCTCTTTCTAGAGGTTAAACAGCTGACTAAGGCCTCCTCTGCAGCTGGCATTTGTAAGCCAGTTATGTCTTGCTGGCTTTCCATTAAAGTGAGGTTGAATAATTAATATGAGTCTGGAAGACATTCCTCTTGCTAGAGGCAACATTCTGGCTCACAGCCTAAACCAACAGTGGGAAAAAACAGGGCTGACTTCAGGCCAAAGTAAGTCTCCAGATGGGGCTGGGTAACAGCTAGCAAGCTGTATACAAAAGAGGTGAAAGGGTGGAGTTTGAGGAGGGGAAGAAAAGATGAATATTTGAGAAATCAGATTTATAGACAAGCATGTCTGCTCCTCACACACACACATAGCACACATGCTGCTTAGTGTTGTGATTACTCACCACTCTCGCTCTTCTCAATGACGTCGACAAGCTCTCCTGCTTGGAGACTGATTTCTGCAGGCTCTTGTTTCTCGTAATTGGCCAGCACCACATATTGTTCCAGGAGCATGGGATCTGAAGCATCCAGACCTGGGGTTGATGGAAAAAAACATGCTGTCAGCCAGCTGCCAGCCATAGGTCCACGAGAACGACTGCTTGGCACTCGCTGTGCCATAGGCCACTTTGTCTGTAGAGCTCAGCCAATCACGAGATTCAATGCATCTTTCCCACAGTCTAGCCATAGAGCTGCAACCCCATCTAGCCCAACATCAGGGGCAATGAAGAATGCAAAAAGTGAATGATCAAATCCATTCTGCTTTTACTGAAGTGACTTCCTCGTTCGATAAAGACATGTTCAGGTCAGCAGATGCAGGTGAACACAGTTTAAAGAAAAGCAGCAGCAACAGAGCCGAAGGAGTCGGAGCAGAGGCAGGAGAGTGAGCTGAAGCCAGCTGAGGACAGGACAGAAGAGTCAGAGAAAGAGTTTCCTTTGGAAAATAAACCATCTGCTGCAAAGACTCCTTCTCCTCAGTTGGGGCTAGAGCTGGAAAGAGAGCAGGGGGGTTGTGTAGGCCAATCATAGGAGTCGGAACTCAGGGCCTTAAAAAGAACCAGATGAAGGGGCTGGAGTTTTGCTCAGAGGGATGGACCCATGTCTCTGTGAAACACTAGAGCTCTGACTGCAGCATGAAGCATAGCGAATGAAACTCTTCCTCCCACTGCTTCACCAAATTAACCATATAAGCACCAGTGGTGGCTTTGTTTTTCACTTGGTCTGTGGCTGCATTATTAGAAAGGTCCACACACGACTTTGGTTCGTAAAAAAAAGCAACACAAATAACGTGTTTTCAATTAAAAAGTGGTTTAAAGAATGCATTGCAACCAGTTAACATATAAACCACTTTTCCTTGCAAGTCTCAGGCTCCGTTCACTAAGCAAAGCTTAAGCATAAACAACTTTTGTTTAAGAACAACATTTGTAGTTGAACGAACTGAAACTCGTGTCAGCTGGAATCCAGACAGAAACCAGCTGATGCTCAGTTCACACATTAACAAGAGCTTCTGCTGACCACTGAGTGGAAAGCTGCAAACAGAGAGAGCTTCTGTTTACACACTTTGGATTCTCTGCTTACCCCGATACTCATACAACTACATACAAATGAAATACTCGTAGAGTTACGATCATTCTCTAAGTTAAGTGCGGTAAATAGCTTCATGACGGATTATGTATTAGTTTAAAGACTGATTAACGCCTGACACTAAAATGCAAAAGCAAACAATAATGTCGTTGCCATTGTGTGTTTTGGTTGGGGGGGGGGGGGGGGGGTTACCAAAATATCTTGTGAAAAATTGTACATATGACTGTAAAGAAACTTGCAGAAAGTAATCAGTTTATGCATGTCTATAACTTGACTTTTGGAGTAACTCAACTCTCTGCTATCATACATAAAAAATACAGAAAAAGTGCTATAACCCAGTAATATTTACAGATATTAAGTTAAAATATGTTGTTGTAGTAACTAGGATTGATCCCAACACTTAATCTGTCTGAGCAGATTGCACAAGAGCTTTGCTTAAAGGTTTGCTATTAATTGTCTATAGTAAACTCTTATCTGTTAGCAAAATATGTTACAAACCACTGGACAGATTTTAATAAAACTTTCAGAAAACATCCATCCATTATATTTACCCACTTCTTCCTTTTCAGGTTATGGGGCGTCACTGGTGCCCATGTCCAGCCATCATTATGCGAGAGGTGGGGGACACCTTAGACTGGTCTCCAGTCCATCACAGGGACACATAGAGACATACGAGACAAACAACCATTCACTCTCTCACTCACGCCTAGAGACAATTTAGAGTTACCAATCAGTCTAACATGCATGTCTTTAGTCAGTGGGAGGAAACCGGAGTACCTGGAGAAAACCCATGCATACATGGAGAGAACATGCAAACTCCACCCAGAAAGACCCTCGGACCAGGATTTGAACCAGGGTAATCTACTTGCTGAGAGGCAGCAGCTCTAACTAGCTCTAACCCCTTTCAGAAAACAAATAAAGGATATGTAATTGAATATCTTTGGAAGCCAAATCAATTCAAGATGGCTGACACAGACAATTGACCTTAAATAACAATCAAATTGATGTATCTCAGTCAATTTTACAGACAGTGCTAAAATTGATGTGGATGTAACTGAGAGGCATTCACTATACATATTCCAAGTATTACCCATTCATTGTACAACACTTATATGTTTGTGTCAAACATGTTTGTCTGTTAGCATAATATCCCATAAATCAATGAATGGATTTTATTGAAACTTTCAGAAACTAGTGTAAATCTACATCTGATTAACTTTTGAACTGAATCCAGTTCAAATTTATTATGACAGTAGCTAAAGTAGAGGCTAAAGTAGCTGATTTCTTACCCATAAGCCAATATTTATACCCATCTGCTCACAATTTATATGTTCAGGTTGCTGTTTACTAAATCTTATTTATATTATTATTGTTAGTGTATATCTTAGTTTCTTGTATAATTTTTATTTTTATTTATACTTTATATATATTGCTATTTTGGGGTGTAACTGGGACCTTGAGAACACTTTTTTTTTCCACCTCATGTACCACATGTGAAGTGAATGACAATAAAGTCTTCTTGAACTAAAAGTCATTCACAACATATACTTTGAGTGTGACGTCTCATGAGATCGTGCATAAAGTTATTTTCCAGGTTTGACCAGAACAACTAAAATGTTGTCATTCCTTAACACAAGATCTTAGTTTAAACCTCTGGCATGAAAGGCAGCAGGTGACATGCTAGGCCTTAAATTTGAAAAACACTTCAGCCCAATAAAAGGACATATACAAAATGACTGAGATAGTTTGACTAAACTGCCTTTCATTTAAAAAGACAAACTGGAGATAGTCCCACAAACAAGGGATTAGAATTCCTCTAAATCTGGAAAATACTGTGCCATAAATTCAAGGCATTCCAGCTAAAATGTTAAGAAACTAATAACTCAAGGGTATGAACTCAGCATCCCGCATGCTAAAACTGCCAAAGAGTCTGACTCTGGATTACTGCGGCTGGCCTGTGGTTTATGATGGCTTATCTGTGCAAGATGTTCTGAAAGACCACCGAGCTGGATTCAGAAACAATCATAGCAACCTATTTATGCACAGATGTGTTGATCCTCACTAAATATTAAGGCAACAAGCACTTTATTTCCAGTTTAGCTTGTCAGTATTAATACAATTGACTTGAAGTAACTCACAGCTCAATTAACCCTCAACACAGTTACACTTGTAGATGAACTTGAGTGCATTTTTAACGTCACATTTAGGACAATATATAGGGTTTTTATTAACACCGCCACCAAAAGGCAAAGGAAGAATAATTTTTGCCTTTGTCTGGAACTATTGAGATAAAGTTTGTGGTATTAACCTATTTCTCATTTCATACTCTTAGCACTACTGGGTTTAATATGTATTCCTTCAAGTAATGTTAGGCTTTAAGTTTATTAAAGTATCCTTTCAACACAAATGTTTTCTATCAAGCCATAATGGTGAAACACTTCCTTTATATTGTATATTACAAATTATGTAGACCAGTAGCTCTCAAACTGGGGTCCTCATACCCCCAGGGGTCCACAAGCCAGTGCTTGGGGGTCCACAAAATTTTCATACTCTTAGCACTACTGGGTTTAAT